AATAAAACGTAACACACACTTTTATGTATGCTTTGGAAATAAAATTCTGACTCAATAATATTACCTGTTTTAATGAATATGTATCAAAATATAAGAAATATATGATAGCAGTGCTGCAAGGCACAGGGAACCCGTGAATCAAGGGAGGATGGGACGCCTGTGTCATTTGCTTCGTGGACCATCATTGGAGTGTTCATATCAGATGTTAAAACATGGGCAAAGGTTTTTCCATCACTGTGACAATCCTTTCCATAATAATTGCCGTCATAGCTGTCCTTGCATACTTTAGTATTCCCAGCATCCCTGATATACCTTCAGTTGCCCAAGATAACTGGTTTGGCAAAGGCGACAAGCGACAAGAAGACGAAACTATCAAAAGTTTTCAAATATCAGTCACGCAGCAAACTCTTGATGATTTGAAGGATCGCTTGCAAAACACACGGTTTGTTGAAACCCTAGAAGGAATACAGTGGGAATATGGCACAAACAGCGAATATCTCAAGCAACTTGTGCACTACTGGATAAAAAAATATGACTGGAAAACTCAAGAAAAGTTGCTCAACTCGTTTCCTAACTTCCAAGCAAACATTGATGGACTCAGAGTGCACTTTTGGCACGTAAAGCCTCAGGTTAAAGCTGGTCAAGTATTGGTACCAATCATGTTTATACACGGATGGCCAGGATCCTTTTTTGAGTTCTACAAAGTTGTTCAAATTCTTTCCAAAGAATCCGTGAGTGGGAAATTTGCATTTGAAGTTGTATGTCCATCAATTCCAGGCTAYGGATTCTCTGAAGCAGCTCACAAGTCAGGTCCCTTGTTGATCCACACTGCTGTTATGTTTAGTAAGCTGATGGCAAGACTTGGACACAAATCATTCTATGTGCAGGGCGGAGACTGGGGGTCTGGTGTGGCAAGAGCAATGGCACTAACTAACAAACGGTATATATATGAATCATTAAGTCTGATTAAGACGTGGATGATACCTTAGCTATCATTGTGCCAATAGCATAGTTTTTATGTGGGTCACTTGTTATGGACTAGTATTGCTTGTTCATTGGTTTTTACTGTTATAGCAACAGAAAGCTTGTTGGTTTTATCATTTTATTTGTGCCTTTTTCCTGCCTTTGTTTTATCTCCTTAATTTTCTTTATTTAAGGCATATCAAAGGAATCCATCTCAACTTTTTTCAAGTATCTGCTCCATATGGACCACTTTCATACATAGSTGGATACTTCACACTGCCGCCACTTGAACACAAGAAGATTTTCCCACTCAAACAATTTTTCTTTGATGTCCTACGTGAAACAGGATATTCACACATACAAGGTACCACAAAAATCAGTAATATGTACTCCACAAAACAAGGATCAGGTGTT